CAAATACCGTCTAAAAATAAAATAAAATAAAATTTTTAATAAAATGTTAATTTTACTTAAAGTCTTTTTCAAATTTTTCCCTGACACTGGCCCTCTCAGAGTGGAAGCTCTGATAGTACCTCACTTGACCGGAGGAGAACTTGGCGACGGTTGCTATGGAAACAAACCACACCCACTCAACATATGATGATAATGATGATGATTATCTTACAGACTGTCATGAGGTCAATGCTTTGGGATTTGCTTGAGAAGACAAAAAGATCAACTGCGATTTGCTGGGCGGAGCAATCCAGAGCTAACTTCTTGTAGAAATCAGTACTGGCAGACATATTGAGCTGATCCTGAGAGAGAGAGAGGGAGAGAGAGAGACAGGGGGATAATTATTATATCTGTTTGGTTGGTTACCATTTTAGTAGCTCCAGTAGCTTCCTTCACTTTAAGTGCTCCTGGTCCCACGTTAGGCAGTGAACTCATCAACACGGTGATCCTACCACCGATCTGATGCTAATTGAAGGAGATGGATAATACTGTATGTATTTTAAATATGTACAGTGACCAGTGTGTGTGTGTCTGGAGGTGAGTATCAGTAATGTAATACCTGAGTCCCTTGATATCTGCCCTCAGCTTTACCTCAAGCAGATATCTCAGTCCTCAGGTATTACATTACTTATACACACACACACCTCCAGTCAGACAGGCTGCTGATCATTACAAGGAGCAGTCAGTGTGTGGTGCAGTATCTCTTCTTACCAGCAGCTTCTCAGTAATGGCTAAAGCAGGTCCTAAAGCACTTTGAAGGTTTCTTTGATCGACGAACATACGAGGGAAATCTTGCAGGAAAGACTTCACCAGCTGGAGAAACAGAAAATGTAAACAAGAATTAATAAATAACAACAATAATAAATTACTTCTTTTGATTCTCTCAAATTAACGAGGAGTGACGTAGGAGATGGAATGAAAGGATCTAAAAATAAATAAATAAACAAACAAATAAACAAATAAATGAATTATACCTTCTAAATCTGATACAACCAGCATCTGAGGCTGAGCTTGGGACGGCTAAAGGGACAGAAAGAGAGTTCAGTAAGTACATGTTCACTGTATCTACTCTTGATGAGTCTGGGTACTTTGAGATTGTAGAAGTGGAGGGTGTGGTCGAATGAGAGGAATCCAACCATAGTCCGACTGTCACCAGGTAACTTATTGATACAATCCAACAGAGTAGCACAGAATACATCAAGAAGACCTTAAGGAACTAATAATAATTACTAGTGGTCATGTGACAGTCACCTGATTGTATGGTTGGGTAGGTTACATCAATAACAAAGAAATATACACTGGGTTGAGGAGGACGGACCTAGAGGTGCAGATAATTAGGTAATATATGGTATTTCATCTAAAATGTCAAAGATCCATTTTCATTACATTTTCTGATATAATGATAATATATCTGCCCATTAAAGGGTTAAAATAACAGGCTCCGTCCCTCCACATACCATATATTCCGAAGGTGCTATGTACTCAACTGACGAATGACGCAACTCCTGATGGAAGGAGTGATCACCTGACTTACCAGACTGAGGATTATAATCATAATTATCAGGAACTAGAGAGAGAGAGAGAGAATTTAAAATGTTTTTATACTTATATTTTGAGGGTTTTATAAACTATTATGCTTTGAAACTAATCCTCACCAATGTTATTTCTAAAGCAGAAGTTACACCTCCAATGTTTCTGGTCCACAAAGGACACAAAAGGATTGATATAAGCTCTGCAGACCCTACACCTTACAATAGTACTGGGATTAATGACTGGACATTCCTAAGGAATACGAGTGGTCATCACTCAGTCAATATAAAGTACACATACCCTAGCCTTGCTGTCCTTGAATGGATGAATATGAATAGCAAAGGGTAACTTCATCTTATTGAGGAGTCCAGAAGTAGCTGGAACAGTCGACATTGTAGAGCAGAACACAGAAGGATCCGGATTAAGATCCCGTAGGTGCTGCGGTAGTAGTGGGGTGGAGACTGTGATGGGTGTGGCAGGTAAGATATTACGAACTTCTTGCACATTGACAGGCTGAATGTTGGGAAGCACCTGCTGAGGAGGAGGCTAAGGGAGAGAGAGGGAGGGAGAGAGAGAGAATGGTTTTTATAAATAAAATATTTTCCAGTGTCTTACAGGTTGAGGTTCTGGTTGAGGTTGGAGAGTAGAGCCAGTCAAACCGGTTGGTCCAGAATGAGGATACTTGTTAGGAGGAGGAGCTGTCATGTGACCCAGTGGAGGCGGACCTGCCATACTCATTCCAGTACTGCCCCCACCTTCAGCCATGTACATACCATGAGTACCGGTATGAGACATGAGAGTATGGGAATGAGATCCTGTCGGGGGACCTTGGGCCGCTGAAGTGGGAGGAGCTAGAGAAGGATGAGGAGGAAACTGAGAATGAGTGGGCGGAGCCTGAGGCCTAATATTAGGAGGACCTGCTAATTGAGTGGGTGGAGGACCCGCTAATTGAGTGGGCGGAGGACCCGCTAATTGAGTAGGTGGAGGACCTGCTAATTGAGTGGGTGGAGGAGGACCAGCTAATTGAGGTCTATTCATAGGTGGAGGTCTTGCTAATTGAGCGGGCGGTGGCTGAGGTCTATTAATAAGTGGAGGAGGACCTGCTAATTGAGTGGGTGGAGGAGGGCCCACTAATTGAGGTCTATTCATAGGTGGAGGTCCTGCTAATTGAGTGGGCGGTGGCTGAGGTCTAATATTAGTCGGAGGGCCCCCTCCTAGTTGTGTAGGTGGGGCCATTAGTCCCATTGGGTGTGGCCTAAGAGGAGGAGGAGGACCCATTAATGAAGGGCCTGGTGGGCCAGGACCCATTAGGGAGGAGGGACCAGCTGATGAATGAGAGATTAACGAGGTGGGTGGAGCTCCCATTAATGAAGGAGGTGGGCCGTTAACAGTTGGTTGAGGGGGAGAACCCATTAATGAGGTGGGCGGAGCTCCCATTAATGAACCAGACGGGGGACCAGGAGGACCTGAAATAATAATTAAAATAATCTATTATCAATTACACTTTCCACGTTTTTGTTGGAATGCAAATTATAAAAATTCTGATGCATCAGACAAATATCCCATCTTACCTAAACTCATTGCCCCTAGCTTATTAGCCACACCCCCAGGAGGAGGAGGAGGGTACTGTCTCTGCTGCTGCTGCTGGGGTAGGTTTCCATGGTAACCAGGAGAGGGCCCTGTTGGCACTGAAGGATTACTAGGATAGACTCTTCTCTGAGACATTTACTAACAGAAAGAGAGAGAGAGGAGAGAGGGAGGAGGAGAGAGTTCTTTCAGACAATAAAATAACAATTACCTCACATGCAGGGATACTCTATTTAATGCCACCGTCACGTGATCAAGTCACGTGATTTTATGACTGACACGTTGACCTACGTGTAATGTGCTTAGGTATTTTGTTTTGTTATTGTTTGCAAACATTGGTTATCATGTTGCAGCAATTTTCCCATTCTCAGTATTCTACAGTACAATTTCATAAAAACAGCTGGAAGTCACGTGATCCATCACGTGACCCCATTTTGCTAAAAACATGCCATTAATATTTGTAGAGCTAAACTGGAGGCTAATTTAAAGATTTTCATCAAAGTAGAAAAGCAAAAAAACTTTTAAAAAGCAAAAGAAAGAACTCGAAAAAAACTTTTAGTAGTAGGCGTGGTATAATTGGTCACGTGACATGTCGTTGCCTGAATGACGTCATTTAAGTCGACAAAGGGTTAAAAATAAATAAAATAACCCAAGCCGCACAGAATAGAAAGAAAAGAGAAAAGCTAAAGGTAATCCACATCCTTTCTCTATTGTTATCCCTCTTACAAATAAAGGAAAATGTCTTTTCTATGGGACTGGTTTACTGGAGCTCTGGGCTATCTCGGTAAGGAGATGCAGAGTTGGGAATTCATCATCACTTTGTTTTGTTTGATTTTAAATTTGCTCTCCAGGTCTGTGGAAAGTCCAAGCAAAGCTTGTCTTCTTGGGTCTGGATAATGCCGGGAAGACAACCCTCCTTCACATGCTTAAGGATGACAGAATGGGACAACCTGTACCAACCTATTACCCCAGTAAGGGCATACCAAGAAAATTAATAATAATTATTAACAATCATAGTTTTAACAATATTAAAAATGGTTTATTATTAAAATGATTGGATCAATATGAATTGTGGTTGTCCAATTGACTTGGCACCATCCAACAATAATATTAGTAAATATACTATGAGAATTCTCTTTCTCCCTCCCTCTCTCTCTCCCTTAGCAAAAGAGGAGTTAAGAATAGAAGGAGTAACATTCACAACATTTGATTTAGGAGGCCATAAAACAGGTAAAAGGAAATGCCTCTTTCATAATGACATTCATTATCTCACTTCCTTTGGCCATAGCTCGTAAAGTCTGGAAGGACTACTTTCCAGCAGTTGATGCGATA